TATTAAAAACCGATTGGAGCAACTGAATCCAACATAGTATCTACCTTGATGTTAACCCACGGACTAAGTTGAGCCTGAAGTGTTCTGTGACTCAGTAGCTCTCTGCATCCAAATTACTGGACAAGATGCAGGCTGGTGAAAAGCACATTCATCTTATGAAGACAACCTGAGCTTACAAATACTATCTATCCTTAAAGACGGCATTATCCTTCTGGGAAGGATCCTGTGACCACATTTCATCTGTCTTCACAGTGGTGTAAACCACAGAGGTGGGTACGTCTGCTCTAAGGAAGAGCACAGACCTCAGGTTTTTTGCGATATGTTTGAAAAGTCTCCTTACCTGCCCTTGAGCCCTGGATTTTTTCCATAGAGTGTGAATGAGACATGAACATCAACTCAATTACAAGGCTGAATTTAGTTCCAAAATGCTGCACTGGACTGCATGAGTGCAATGTTAGACTACAGAGAGAGCATCCAGCTTCCAGCAGAATTAAAGCTTGTGTTTTTTACAGAGAGGGTGATATAATAAATTGTCTTTTATGTTTCAAGTGTAATTTGCTAGGGTGATTTCTGCATCTGTTATTTTTATTTGCAAGTTTGCTTTGGGTGGCTCTCAACTGAACTCATTTTTATTATTATTATTTGCTTGGGCAGATGGGATTTGCACACTTGGAATGTGAAGTTTCAGACTTCTTTTTAACAGTTGTTCTTTCACATATCTATAGTTAAGAGTATCACTAGACAACTAAAAACAGATTAATCCCCATGGTGGCATGATTATTTAAAGTAGAGAGAGGAAAGAGGTCTTACTTGTAATAGAGAGGAAGGCAGTGCCATTTTTAGTGAGAGATTGGATATGAAAGGGAAATGGAAGGGTTAGAGTTAACAGTGATACGTGAGAAAGGCTGAAAGGGAAATACAGATATTCTTATGGGGAGACTGAGATATGGTCCAGAAATCTAAGAGAAGTAATTTAAGATGAGAAAGGGGGCAAAGGGGAAGAGTTCAGTGACCACATATGGCTGATTATAAATGTAGAAAATGGATAAAGAGTTTGCTGAAACTCAGTTGAAAGGTCAGTGTCTGTTAGGACCGGATACAGTACCCTTACTCAGGAAAAATATCTACAAGATATACATATACAATAACATCTACAAGATGTTATTTTCATGACAATGTTTTGCTGAGAACAAAAGGGAATAAATGGTAATATACAATTTTCAGAGATTTCCACAGCGGTTTGCCAACAAGTAGCAATGCTTATACAAAAAAGCAAAGCATTGTGTTTTAAGGTTTTTATTTTTTTTTCTGGAATGTGCTATGTTTTGTAATTCAATACATTCTTAAGATGAAGACTGATTCATAACTTCAGACTATAGATAAAATATACATTTTTACAATGATAAATTACTGAAATTTTAGAAACTGTGCTATTGTACAATTGGTGACCTCCTAATGCTGGCTACTGTTCAGATTCCATTACAATATTTGGACATGAAAATCTCGATAAAATGAGTCCAGATAAGTTATTCTATAAAAAAGTTTTGATCTATCCAGAGCTTTTAAGAACTCTAGTGTAATCTGGAGTCTTAAACCTGCATTAAACTGGCCTAATTTTATTAGTCCTTATTAGTCTTTCATATTTATTACATTAAAAAAAAATAAATACCTGGTCCATTCGATCTTAGTATTTCATCACTCAATGAGAAGGTTGTCTTGTGTTCTTTCCCAGAAGTTTTATCTGAGAGGGGAAAGGAAAAGAGAAAGAGAACAAAAGGAAGCAATTAAATAATCAACTATTATTTTCATTTTTTCAATAAATTAAAAAACCTATAATATTAAAAATTATTACTATATAACATTGACTAAATTACAAAAGTTCTGAAAATTCTGAGTTGATCACATTTAAACTTTTCTACTTGAGGGCAACCTTTTGTATCTCCAAATAATGCAAAATTAAATAATACTTAATAAATTAAATGATATTTAAAGAATATATTCTATCCCTCAGGGTAATCTGTTGATGAGCTTACTGGCTGCATAAATTATTCCATTCCTAGCTTTTGGCATAGATGTGATAGCTAGTTATACTTCCAGAAAAACAGAGAGAGAGAGAGAGAGAGATGTTAAAATTCAAGGGCATCTGGAGTTGTCACTGAGATCTGAAGACTGAAAATGAGCATATTGAAAGCAATCCTAACACTAAGCCTTTCAAGATGATATGGTACATATGAGAGATTTCATGCTGGTCTTTCAAATAGAACTAGGAGAATTGATTTACTATCAACGTGTTCAACATGGATTAAACAAACATGCCAGCAGACTGACAACACTCATGCTGTAAATAGTATATCCTTCTGTTAATACAGGTAGAGAGGGGTTGCTCTGCCTAATTTATGGTCTCCATATAGTACGATATTGAAAGAGTACAGAAACTGTTGTAAACTCCTGATGAAATGCAAGCATAAGTCTGTTTACTATTAAATGTGATTTACTGCAGCGTTACACACGTGCTTTCTTTCTCTTCCCCCCCCCCCATTTTTTGTAGAAGGTACGGGGGGTTTAGACAAATAACAATACAAGCTTTTTATTCAGTTAGTGCAGAATAACTTGTATATAGAATTATCACCTATATTTTTAGATCTTCTTTTAAGATGTATAGTCTCTTTTTAAAGAGACTATTTTAAAAATGCTAAATTAAGATTTGAAATGAAGATGAAAATTGCAAGGAGATTATAAGCAAATGACACTTCAAAACTGAAAATGGTGCAAATCTATCAGCTACTTTATATAATAGCAGCAAGGAAGACCTGCTATGCAGATTATACCACCACTCTACAGTTCTCTACAGATAAACACTTGCTTAAATATAGATGATTTTGTGACAGTACTGAGAATAACAGAATCACATTTTATCACTTAGAATGGGAAATCTGTAGCCTGTACTAGTGATAATAATTGTGATATTTATTGTGTCCTTGTGTATAATGAATTTTTAAAAAAACACTATTTTCATGTAAAGCAGAATTGGAGAGCCTGATTACCAGAAAATGTTATTAACTGCTTGCATACATTATTCTACTCATCTGCATACCTTTGAGAACAGTTGACCAGTCACTTTGCTCAGACATAAAACTAATCTGTGGTAACTTTTAGAAGTCAGGTCTTTGCTTTCTTTAAATCTTAGTTTTACTTAGTGATTTACATAATTTATGTCCAAAAGACTCAGTATGTGGAAAGTTAAGAAATTGAAAAAAATGCATTTGAGAAAGTCATTCTTATTGAATGCTGATGTTTGTAATAAATTTGGAGCTTCTTGTCCAGTGCTCTCATTTTCAAACTCCCTGCCTTCCCTTCCCTACCCTGATGGGTTTTATGATTTTGGAGTGTAGCACGCTCGGTAGAAATCCAAATATCTGCTTAGCCAGAATGCTTTTATTAGCTCCGTTTTCATGAGCTCCTTTCAGATAGTTTAGATATGTAAAGTGAGCATTGCTCAGTTTAGTAATTTTTTTATTTGCCTGGTATTGTAACATGCACTTTTTATAATCTACATAGAATGCAGTTTTGCTCTGTCTCCACTTGTGCCCTCCTCCTTTTTAACCACGAGTACAGATTTTATCTGTTAGACACTGGCTTACTTAGCATCTATGCCTGGTTTCAGATTTGGTTTGTCCTTCCCCCACTTTGCTTGTTCCACTTCTGCACCCAATAAAGTTTCCATAATTTAACAACTTCCTTCCAACTTCTGAAACATTTTAATTTTGAATAGATTGTTCTATGCACATTGCTCTTCCCATGCAAGTTAAAAATCTTACCTCTTTTCAGAGTTGTAGGTGTTTGATTTCTCATTCTCTTTAATAAAGAGAAGTCCTGACCATTTTTTATGTAGAGATGATGTCAATCCATACCGGACTGGTGGAAGTCCTTTCATGTCCCCATTGGAATGTAAAATGTATTATTTTCCTTCAAAGTATTTTTGCACACATACACATTTTTGACCAAGATATCTGATTGACTATATGAAAGAGTAAAAGTGCATCAAAGCATTCTGAATTATGTAGTTGTAAATTTTACAATATAGCCTGTAATACTAAGTAAAAAGCATAGTTGGCATTTCTACTTTCCTACTAATAACCTTCAATAGACATTATTTTATATTATTCTTTAGGAATGCTAGAAGAAAGGTGAATATATTGGAATGTGAGTAGTTGCTGCTGTCCTTTAAATGTAGTCCTTATCCTTGGGCAATGTACAGGATCTCCAATGTTTTCATTAGTTATTAATTGTACTTGCTTTGCTAGTTTCGTTCTAGAGACAGAAATATCACTGTGTCATGAAACACTAAGTACAACTTTTTCTATTTCAAATGTCATATACAACAGGTATTCGAAAATGTCTGTAGTCTTCCTTTCATAAAAGTGCTTTCTCTTAATCGCCTTTCCCCCTTTTAAGAACTCTGATAATAAAGCTGAATCGTAGTTCCTTTCTTTAGGCAGATGATTAAACATTCTCACCATTATATAATACAATTTCCATTTTATTTTAAACATCCTTTCTTTACAGATGATTAAACATTCTCACCATTATATAATACAATTTCCATTTTATTTTAAACATACTTTGCATGATATAAAAATATTGATCACAGTGAGCTTTAACAATTGTTACTGCTATAAACAGAAATGCTGCACAATGGTTTTAGTGGAAATAAATTATATAGTCATTATCTCTTTAAAAAAAAAAAAATCACAAGAAGGAGAAACTAGGCTGTTTGGTCATTGGCAGAAAATAAGTCCTTATTGAGTTCTTTACAAAACATGAACCCCAGTTATTTCCTACATTTGCTTTCCGCATCTTGAGAAAAGCACAATGCGTCTGTCTCTGAAAGCCCCACAGGGTCTCTGGTGAACACTTAATTCCAAATTTTAGCAAAGTTTCTGTTGTTCTTTTGTTCTAATGGAAAAATGTACACCAAAATAGCAAGTAGTGCTTCTTCACTAATTCATAAGTGGTCTTTTCCAATATGTGGGTACACAGCGGCACACTTCTTCACTAAAATAAAGTCCAGCATCACAGCGTTTCGTTCGGACTGTACACGGCGGTCTGTAACAACTAAAGAAATGAAAAAAAGTGGGCATTAATATAACATGATCATTTATATTAACCTGGAGTAGAAATCTGGGTGCATTTAGATTGCCATTTCTCGATGGGATATTTAATTCCTACAAATACGTATCTTTTAACTTCTGTTTCTGTTCTTGCATCTACTTTTAATTGGACTATTTTTCACAAAAGACAATGAAAGAATAATGAATGCTATTGAAGAGAAATCATTCTATTGCAACAGCTACTCATGAATATTTTAACATATTGCCTGGCTGTAGTCGCATTCTAATCTTGAGCAGTACTTTTTTAAATTTAATTTTGAAAATACAGTAATATTTTTCTGTACTCAAATTGACTTGTTATGATCTACTGCATACTGCCAGTTTGAGGTGGCAATCCAGAATCAGGTGATAATCAAATCTACCAGCTTCTTACCCAGGACTGGTTCTCACCTTTTTCACTAACGCAATAAGCCTGAGAGAGATTTGTCTACGTATGTTACACTGTGACTCTGATCTTGAAGATGAGAACATACTTCCTTTCAGGTTGCAAACTCCTATAGCCGCTCTCTGAAGCCAGTGGGGATAGATCTACACTTCATATTGCATCTACGTGCATTCTGAAGTAAGATCAGAGCCTGCATGTTTATGGTAAATCTTAAAGGAAAAAGAACAGAAATAGTCCCTATTTGATTAAAATAAGTTTAACAGAAATAGAGCGGTAAACAACACGTCACATCTACCTAAGCAGCAGCAGAATTTTTCTTCACAGATTCCTTGACTGAAAAATAGAACTTATACAATGATAATATCTGTAGTTGTCCCTGAACTCTTCCTTTTCCTATTTTATTTTTTCTGTTAAAACAAGAACTTGACCTAAAATAACCTTACAATAACAATGCTAAATACTTTCTGGTATATAATGGAGACAAAGTACAAGTCTGGGTTTTTTTTTCAGATGCTGGCAATGAGTCAAAAGACAAAATATATGTTTCGAATTTCAACACACTTATACTTAAAACTTGTATTTAAATAATGTGTGCCTGTTTGTGAGACACTGATATTATGATCTATTACTGTAATTCATACTTACTTCAGTTGAAAGACACTACAGTACACTATATTAAGGCAATGTCACTATCCTCTTCCCTAAGCAATTCTTGTTTCAGGCTTGTGGCTACTCTTATTATTGTTGCAGATAAGTTAATATGTTGCATGCTTGTTTTGGATACCAAGTTACTACTTTGCAATAATTTGTTTATGATATGAGGTCTGGATTACAGTTATATTAATTCAAGCCAGCTAGTTAAACCAATGAACCTGGTTATGAGGAAAACAATAAGGAATGAGGAAGACTGCAAACATGACATTTATTAACTAGTCACATCTTGTTCAGTGTTTTCAATGTCATTAATCATAGATTATTTCACCAGTGTGGCCTCTGTAGTTAAGGGAGTAACATTATTTTATGCCACTTAATATATTTGAGATCAGTGTAACAGCTCATGGGAATCTCTCAAAGCCCTACTGATCTTTTGCCCAGTAAAGTTTGGAAACAATGGTAAAAAGCAACAAAAATCACAGTGTCACTTGAGAAAGAAAGCTGTCTTGCATGTTTGCCAAAGGATCTAATACTCTGAGCAAATGGGCAACCAGCAGTAGGTTTGTTCTGGGAAAAAGGTACTCCACAGAGATGCAATGGATGAAATACTGAACTCACTTGCCTTTTTGCCGGTCTCTGCCATGAAAGTTAGACTATTTCATGTACTGAATGACCATAGAATGAAATAAGAGAAAGATAAGGTTGGAAAGAGGTGGGGGGGGGGGGAGACAAAGGCCAAACTCTTCCACCCACCTATGACACATTGCACAAAATGAAAAGCAGTCACGTAATCATTAAATATGAGGAGTTCACTTTGTTTAGGATTCGTGCCTCCTAGTGAACTGTGAACTTCAACTTCACTTACAGTCGACAGCACTATAAAGCATCTCTCTCATGTGAGTTTGTGTCTAGCAGCAGTCAAGGTCAGGTTACTGCAGTCTTATCCTTATTTGGGACATTTCAACAGAGCAAGAAAGCCCCTCTCCTCCTCTAAAATGCTTTGCAGCTGAGGTGCCTACTTATCTGGCCCTACCAAAACTGACCAAAATAAATTTTTGAGGTGATAGCACAGGGTGAATAGTAGTAGAGTCATTGTTACTATATAAATGTGGTTTCCTTAGGAAACTGCTGAACAATAGACCAGGTCTTTCAAAAGATTTAGGCTGAATGTTGTTTACGGAGTGCTTTCATGTGACAGATGTCTGTTTTGATGAGGACAATCTGAGCATGCTGGAGCTAAGACAGATGTGCAGCCAATATGTATAGTGCAGGTGAGACAGTGGCAACCTTCTCTTTATGGTCAGTAATTGTGATTTTTCCTACCAAATGCTCAGGTTTGAGATTTTGGAAAGTCTAACATCTGCACAGATGAAACTGAAGTAGGAATGCTACTTTTAGTGGTGGTAACAGCATAATCACCTTAAAAGCCAGTATGCATTATGGTGTTTGTTGTTTTTTTTTTTTCTTTTCTTTTTTCTTCCTGTCCTGTTCTTTCTAAATGACTTTTTATTCCTGTCCTCTGGAGCAGGGTCTAACGTTAGAGGCAGAAGCATTTTAGGTACAGTGCATAAAAATGCAGGTGCTTCAAAACCAAAACCTATGAGGACTGTCTGCCTGCATGGGGAGCTGTCTAGGACACAGCTACAGGGGTCTGCTCATGTCTAGGTCTCAGGCATCTTGCACAAAGCTATAGAGTGGTATCTCTATTTACGTGGTCTCATAACAGCAAGGGATCTCTCTTTCAAACGACAAACAGGATGTTGCAGGGTTTATATTCCTTTTACAGAAAGCTTGTGGGCACACCAAAAATGTGAGAAACCTATGCTAAGTGCTTTCTTAAGAAGGAGGAGAGATTGCATCTTCTATTTTCCTTGACTATCTACTATCTACAGGGCTATTGGTTGTAGAGCTATAGAGTAACACCATATAAAAATCTTCCTCTCTTTCTCCACACAAAGATGAACTGCTTAGAAAAGAGAAACAGCTAAAAGCATCCTATATCACATTGTCCTTGGAAGTGAGAAAGGGATTCAAACTCTTTATCGCATTCAACCACAACAACACAGAGAACAGCTGAGCTCAATTTCCTCCTTCAAATACTAAGTCATTTCATTAATAGAGGTGCCATAATAGATATCTGATGCCATTTCTTTGCTTTTTAAATGCCTGACTTTTCCAGTTGTGAATGTTCTTTTAAAACACACAGAGTTTATATGTGTAGCACTGCTGGAACTGCACACTTGAGTGTGCAGTGCTAAGGCTTTGTAATGTGCTAAAGCTCATGTAGTAAAGTTGGGTTTTTTTCCCCTGCAAACATAAAATTGAAATAAAAACTGAACAATAGAGAAGAAATTATTTTTTTTATGTTTATAACAACTCTTCTATTCCACTCAAAAGGCCAAACATAGGAAAACAGGTAATGCCAGTTATTATTAATAACTTGAACACAGGTCTCATTCTTAATATTAGACATTTGTTCTTTATTCAAGATGAACTAATGTGTGTGTATATATATCTGGCAATATATTTATGCCAACTAATTACATGTCATATTAAAATATACTTAAGGTTTACTTTTTGATAAGCAATGAATTACCAATTTTCTATTTTCCATTTCCAGTGCCGGAACGTTTCTGGAACTGTTATTTGTCATTAATATAATAGAAATAATTGCCATATATTAATAAATAAGTGATCTTTCTGTTCCAAATGGGATTCTTTCTGTTTTAACAAATTCACTTTACAGGAAAACTTTCCTCACAAAATATACAAAGCAGAAATAATATTGTTTGTTTCTCAGAACCTGAAGTCATTCGCATTTTTATGACTAGACTGCTACCACTATGGGTGTAGAAGTCATGGAAGGAAAAGCTCCTGAGATATATAAAGAAATTGCAGAGTTTTCTTCCTAACCAAATCCCATTTTAAATGATGAATGTGGGTGGTCTGTTTTATAGTGATATATGTCTACTTTTCACAGAAACCACCCAGAGCTATAAGACGTTTTATGCACTCATAAATCTTTAGTATCAGTTGAGTGAAATGAAGAATATGCAAAAATTTAGGAAGTGAAAATGAATGATGGTATCCTCCAGAACTAATTCGTGAAATCTAATTATAAATATTTGAGTTATTTGAATTGCAATATTTGGTTCTTGGGAAAAACAGAGTGGAATTTTGAGTAGCATAAAAAACCGAGGAGCTTGAACTTACACCTCATTTTCATCAAAAGAGAAAAAAAGAAATCACATGAAGTAGTAGTAAGAGTAAAAGAAACTAAATATGCTTTAAAATACTCTTTCTGCCTAGTAGTTTCCTCTTAGAGATGATAAAAATCATAGAAGATAAAACTGAATTGAAGAGAGGCTTACTGTTTACTTAACGTTACAAAGCAGTCCAACAAGAATGAGCTTTTACCTGCATGTCTGGTGATGGAACCTTTTTCCTTTTAAGAAGCATTTATTGGGAGATTCTATACATTCACAGATGCATTTTGCAGGGTTTAGTGGCTGATGTTTAGGACAGGTCTTTTTACATACACACTGGCACTTATCTTCATCAAATTCCTTGTTGGGCCCACAGGAAGTGGGGAGAAGTTTGTTTTTGCACATGCACTGACATGATGATCTGTCTAATTCTTTGTGAGGTCCACAGCTTGAGGGCCGCATGCCTCCTTTGCAGACACATTGACAGGTTTCTTCATCCAACTCCTTGTTTGGTCCACAAATATGGAATCCTTCAGATGTGTCTAGAAATACAGCAGAGAAGTTGCATAATTATCAGAATTTTGTCTCTACCCATCCCATATTTTTAAGGGAAGAAACGGTATCGAATTCGTACATTTTAAGGTGTTTTAAGAACAAACGTATGTCAAAAGACAGGCAACAAGCAGTAATAGTATCAATAAAGAAAGAGATTCAACTATTTGCTTTTCATATTTTTAATTTCTCCTTTAGATAAATCAAAACATGGAACTACATTTAATTGTTTAAGCAAAATTCTTACCAGAATCTCCAAGGTGAGAAGAGAAACCAAAATCATGCTGTGCCAAACATCTGCAAATCTGATTATTCCAGATATGATTTTTTGGACAGGTCTTGTTTGCCACATGACACCTGTGGAATGAAATATACTGCTGATTTACTACTGTAAGAACTCAAGAAAAAAAAAATTGATTTTAGGTGCTAACTGCTTTTGTTTCCCTCCATAACAAAAAACCTTTCAAAGAGATTCAGCTCATTCATAATCTTATTTTTAACTCTTATGATTATTCCAGATATGATTTTTTGGACAGGTCTTGTTTGCCACATGACACCTGTGGAATGAAATATACTGCTGATTTACTACTGTAAGAACTCAAGAAAAAAAAAATTGATTTTAGGTGCTAACTGCTTTTGTTTCCCTCCATAACAAAAAACCTTTCAAAGAGATTCAGCTCATTCATAATCTTATTTTTAACTCTTATCAAATCTGTTTTTAATTAAGTTTCTCCCCGTTGGTTCAAGATACCTTCTCACATTTCAAGTTTTAGTTCTAACTTCTAGAAACCGATATTTTTACTTTCCTAATGTAGTTTGGAAACAGATCTAACCCTTGAATGTACGCCTCATATAGAAAATAGACAAGTATAAAAAAATAGTTGCATACCAAATACCTCGTAGGTGGTAACAGGAATAATTTTCTACATTGTTTTTTGCAGTACAAAAACGTTTTCACACATATAGACATCAAAAGACAGCTGATAATACTTTCTGAATGAATGCTGTAGACCAAACTAATTTCTAAAACAAAATTATCAGATTCCTTTCCCCTTTATGTGAAAATTATGTGACATTAACTGACTCTTTCTCATCAGCCACTCAGATCCTGGACAGCTTTCTCGAATCTAAAGATTTGGACTTCAGCAGTGATGCCTCTTCACTTTAGAAATAAAAGACAATAAAAAATTTAACAGTTTAATGCTCTTTACCTGCTAGAGTTTTGCAGCCAAGGTAGTGGTAAGCAAAGAAAGCAAAAAGTTCTAACAGCAGTTGGTCTCCTTTTAAAGGATGACTGGACTTAACTAGTAGGTACACCACAGATAAAATATTTGTGTATTATTTGATCTTCCTTGCTTTCAATTTCTTTATCACCACAGGTGACATTACAACTTTTAACAAGTCATGCCTAACTTCATGCATCCAGGCTGTGTCATTTATTCATTGTTTCTGTAGTATTTCTAAAATCCTCATCTGTTAAGACAGCACATACATTACACATTTTAAGCACTTTTAATTCCCCTGAGCACCATTACTCATGCATTCAAAAATGCAGGTGCTGGGACATTCTTCTGGGATCATCATTCAAGTGCACCACTCCCCTTCACCACATTAAACGACTCTTTGCTTGTAAAGACTGCTGTAGTTTAACATCACCCTGCATCGCCTCATGTTTTATCAAGCTGGTGTTTCCTGATTTCATTCTGCTAATGATCTCACTCTTGCTCCTTCACTTGGCACATACGCCTTTTGCCCGCCTCCTGATTCTGCTTGAGAAATAGCACGGATAATTTACAGATGTATTATTATATTCTGTTTTAAAAAAAAAAAAACAACAACTCACACCTGGAGCAGCCTGGCTTTAGCTGTGTTTAAAACTAACTACAGAAGGAAGCCAGGGTGACAGTATGAAGAAAACACCAAGCGCACATGAACCCATTAAAAGACAATGTTGATTCAAAACCCAAGTTATCAGAACTTGAAGAGAATGATATGTATTTCAGCATCAGGGCTGGAGACACCCAGTAAAAGGAACTGGAACTGCTTGTTCACAAATTCTACTCCAGTTGCTAGTACAGAAAATTACTGGGGATATGGCTGAAATTTTAAAATGACTTATTGTAACATTTTGGGAAAGTTCAGGAAGGCTAGAAAAAAGAAAGTCAGAGGCAAAAAAACTTTGCAGAAAATTTCACTACCTCTTTCCAAATCATTGTCAACTCAACTTTAAAAAAAAAAAAAAAAAAAAAAAAGTCAGCATGCTAACTTGTTACCTGTCGGTGTCAGGACAGATAATGCACAAGAAGGGGAAACATTTAATGTGTACAACATACATCCAAACCACATCTAAAATATGCTTATCAGCTCTGTAAGCGCCTACCTACAAACCAAGGGAAAAAAAGGTCATCACAGAGACTTGGATCTGAACTATGTATACTGAAGACCCCTCTGCTCCCCCCACCCCAAATCGCTAAACTTCTAAAACAGTGACAATTTTCTGTTGCACATCTTGATGACATTCTATATAAACAGAGAAGGGTACAACTTAAGATACCATTACTCCAGGAGGTATTCTTGAAACATTGGTTAACATGAACTAACATGCCTCAGCTCTGCAAGTATGTAGAGGTAGCTACTACTTTTTAGAAGGGGAAAAAACCAAACAAACAAAAAAGCGGGAGAACAGGCAAAGACCTAGATCTTAATTATCAGGATAAAGTTGTGCAGAAAATATATTTTATATAAAAAAAGATCAACTGTTTGTATTCTATCTATGACATGTCATTTCTCTCTTCTTTCTAACATGTGCCTGTGCATTGTGGCATAATCCAGCCTTGAATTCTTATTAGATTCCAAGTGTTACTACCCTAAAACCAGAGATTATACTCTTAGGCTTTTCTTTTCAGTAATACATAAGAAAGTCATTACTGTATTTCTGTTAAAATGAGCATGTACATAAATACATGCACACATGCAGATCTGCCACTATGACAAGAAAGTACATTTCCAAGTTTTGACTTTACAACAGTTTCACTAGCATTCAAACCTATAAATAAAAATATTAAGGAAAAACAATTTGAAAAGAAATTGAGAACATGAGTACAAATTAAAAAACTACAGAGGGATTCTGAAAAGCATCCAGGCACTCACCAGGAACATGTAAATATCTTTCCTTTCTAGACTCTAACAGCACTCAGCTTGGTTGGTTTTCTGATTTGTTGTGGTTTTTTTGTTTTTAAATTTATTTTCTTGTAAAAAGCCATAGATTTTAAACTTAAAGACAGTACTTAACAGTAGAGAAGGCCTGTATATATTCTGATCTAGTACTACTCTGTCTTACCTTTGTTGAAGCATGATTCCTTACTCACAGGACAGCCAGCTACCTGTGAGTGCTGGTCAAAGTCTTATATCTGTACGCTTACTTCCCTCTAACTATAGGTAGCTGCTTCCTGGCTAGAATAAACTCTTGCAATGGTAATTACAACAGCCCCAGTTTATCCACTGGGTAAAAAGGTACTGTGCTAATAACTTTAGTAACATTCCCTCCATATAAAACGATATTAGCTCCTGTACAAAATGCATTCTGCTGCTACTACTACTACTACTAACGTGTGTAAGTTTACCTATCTTAATTGTGAAAGCTTCCAGCAATATTTTAAATCTAATTATACAGGCTTGCTCATAATGTGAAAGGAAAGACAAGTCTCATACTTACTGAGTTTGTGTTGCTGGCAAGGAACGTCTTATGATAGAATGAACTTGTCTGTAAACATCCAACTTCGACATGCATCGGCAGGACGTGTGATTGGCAAAACTGACGGTTACAGGTTTGGGGCCATGAGAGAGAGGCACTGTGATCTCAAACAACTATAAAAGGGAAGGCAAAGCAAAGAACTTTTTTTATAGATCAGTAACAGGACAACTAAAAATAATATAAGGACATCCAAAAAAAGCTATAAGGAATTTAAGTTTGGGGTTTTGTTCTCTACCATCATACAGTGATATATTCAATTATAACTCTAAATAATCATTATGTGCAAAATGAAGACAATAGCTATGTTATGACAACATTTTTAGTGTTAAACCCTGTTACGTGCCTGTTTGCTTACTACAACATTTAAACTAACATTGTTAAAAGAGGAAAATGTATATAGAACTCATTTTTCTAGAGGGAATGACTTCAAATTGGCAGCCTTTTAAAAAAATCTGAAATGTAACATTTGGAAAGTCTTTCAAAAAGTTGGAAAACAAGAATAATTTAAAAAGGGAGTAAGCTACAACCTAAGACATCAGTTGCACAATTAGAAGAGCTTGTGTTAAGCAGCAGTATATTGGACTTAGATCAAAACATTTTTGGATGAATAAGTTTTGAACCACAGCATACTGTATTTTTTACTTTCCCATATTTGTATCAATGCAAATTATATGGTTACCCTAACGGAATGCATTAATTTTTTTTCAGGAAATTAAGAAACGTTCACTATTAATAAAATAATCACGTATGTGAATGAATAAAATCCTAATTTTAGTGGGAAATGTAGTTCAACTGGTAGAAGAGGACAACTTCAGCGATACCTTGTGGAAACTGAACATGTGATAACAGACAAACAGTGAGACTTATTTCAGTATTCAGTTCAGGACATGCACTTTATCAAGTTAAGAAGGTTTCACTGTAAGACTCAAATCTCAATAGTCTCCTGAAAAGTTAGGACAAATACTTTAGGTCAAAGTCCTGAAAACTATTTTTTGGTAATATTTTTAATAGGATAATAGTGCACTGTTGCCTTTTAGGTGTTTAGTCACTTTTCCAAATATATTTAAGAATATTTCTGCATCTTCTGGGGACTTTACTACCTTTAAAAACATGGTCATTGGTTATTATTCCAGTTTCAGCTGATGAGACTGTATAACAAGACTTTAATTTTTAGCGGAAATCTATTTGCAATGTTTTTTTATAATCAATAACTTTACAGTATGGCATATAGGCAGCATGCAAATGTAATGAAAAAACTGGTAAATTTAAATGATTCAAAATACAAAAGACATCTACAGGAGGTCCTGAAAACAGTACCTTGCACTGAAGTATGCAAGTGAGCCTGGGTACTGACAAGCATGCAGGTGCAGCAGTGTGGGATGTATTCACCAAGTACCCACAAGGTAAAAGGGCACTTGTGTAGCTGACAATAAAGCTCATACTATTGATATACCTAAACCATACAACTTAAGCCTAAACAGTATAAAGAAAGCATCATCAACTCTGACAGGTATTATCTATTTTACAAAACAAATTTTGGCATTATTTAGTGACCGGACCTTTAAAAAAGTATGATGACACCCCCAATGTTAAACAAGAACTGAAACGGCAGAAGTAGTATATTTGCATTTTATTCTGTTACAGAAGATTACAATGCTATTATTTTTGCTGCAAAAAGTACCGCATCCCTTATATTAGTTTTAAATGTGGGTTTCTTCCCACTAGAATCTAAAAATGCAAACTGGTATGCACTTTTTTAGAAGGAAAATCAAAACAGAAAATAGTTTCCTGCATCTTCCAAATACTGATGAAAAAAACTATCCATCTAGGGAGCTACCATGGAAAGAGTTTCTCTTGTTAGAGAGACTTCTAGCCAAAGCACATTAACATTTGGATTCTTGCTCCAGCTGCAAAATAAATAACACTTCTTCAAATTTTGGTCTTGAGTCATTAATAAGATAAGGGCACAAGTACATGTCCAGTTTAAAGTTTGGTATCAATAAAATGAATGCCTAAATCAGTGTCTGCTGTTCTCAAACATAATTATCACCAGCATACCTCCAGGGTTTTCAGCACAGAGTTCTGGAAACAGACTTTCTAATCAACTTTTTATTATACTTATAATCCTTTTTGGCTTCCAAACCAATATTGGCTCCTTTACCCTTATCTATTATAAAAGTTCCTTTAAATTAATCAGAAAAGGCATTCTTACCAAGATGTTTCATCCAAAAAGAGCAATAATCATAACAGAGCTATCATTTTCATACTAATATTTTATATGAAAATAGCTTTATGTACTTATTCATTTCTTTTTAAAATATCCACCTGCTTGAAGGCCATCATAGGTTTTGTTACAATGCACAATCTCACTAGGAAATTGGAGAGGAGGAAGGTGGTGGTGTAGATAAAGAGACAGAAAGGACCATGTTTATGAAAAATAGCTTTCATTTCTGCATACAGTACACATTTGAGAAATTATATGCTGAGTTCTTTGGGTATCTGCTTTTTAAATACTGATCTTTAAACAGACAGCAAAACTCACCTACATATGCAAGACTTGTATCTTTTTTTAAACAAGTTGTGCTTTCAGAAGGACAGCACAACTTTTGGGACCTCTGAAAATCTGGACAGCTAGGAATCTACAGATGTGAAAGCCTTTACTGTATTAAATATCTTGTAAGAAAACTGATTCCTAAAACACATATATGAATCGAGGGACAGAACAAAGAGTATGGACTTCATTACAATATTAGACATGTAGAGAGAATCTTCTGTTTTCTCTGCTCTCTTATGACAGTATGAACTTGCTTTTCCGAAGCTGAAGTAAAAACCCACTATAGGGAGGACTGACAAAACTTAGTAACTGAAGAGAAGTGTGATTCTTTGCATGGACCAAACTGCAGCTGACTAGAAAAAAGGGCACATTCTCTCCTTCCTCTGTTCTTGGAGTAGATCGATTTGCCATACTGCAAAGCGTAGCAGACTCCAGAGCGCTGGAGATGGCAGTGTAGGACTATTGCTACAATTCCAAACCACCTGAAAGAGGTCCCTGTCGGCCCAACTGTCCTCCTGTTTGGCCTCAGTAGTAGATTGAGAGAAGTTTCACTAAAACACCCGAGACGTACCAATTGTGAGCGGAAATGATGGTGAACATGAATTCTGTTAATCTACATTTATCCTTCCATTTAAACTGCGAAAGGTATCAGTTTAGAGGTGAATATTGCTAACAACTATTCCCACCAACACTTCAGTGGTGCAATGCAAAAAAAGCCTAGTTAAACAATGTAAAGGTAGACTAGCTTCCTTGACCTCATTGAATTACCTTGTTTGTTCAACTAAATTCTCTTAATAGCAATGTATTTTACATCACCCATTAGTAGCTACTGTTTATACATAAAGTAAAAAACCAAAGCCATCTATTTATGTTAGAGATTATATTCTATTATGTTATATTATATTAGTTCTTACATTTCTAGTCCTCACTTTTGGAAAGTGCTTAAAATGATACATGAACTAGCATTTTGAAAAAAGAATGTAAACCAGATCTACTTTCCTTACTGGAAATGATAGAAGTGAAATACTGGGGTTGGAATTATTGATTTGTTCTTCCTACACTTTTTATTTGTTTGCACATGCTACTAGGATGCTATATTCTGATGCATACTGAAAAAGGATATATTTATTCTTCTCTTCTGAGAATGATAATATATCAAAAAGAGATTTCAGAAGAAATAAATACTTGAAAAGTAGTCTTTTACAGAAAATGTATTTAATACTCAGAATAACCCTGTTTAAATAATCTCTGGCATTTTGAAATAAAATCCATTCTAAAGAAAATCTACATTCTGCTCTCAGCTGTGATAGCAGCATCTCTAAATCCAATGAAGCTATTTAAGTATAAGTGAATAAACTCTCAATATACATAAACTGGGTTTGAATTATCATCTTAATAAATCATTTCAAAATAGGTAAGATCTGACCTTCTGGAATGGTTTCTGGTTTTGTTAGCATCTCTAATTTATTACTTGCTCATCTTCTTCATCCAATAGAACAATAAGCTCAACATCTGTTGTCACTACAGGGCATGTTTGGCAACATTTAACAGCCAAATGTCAATATCTAGAAAGGATATTTCTATGAGAAATGAGCCATAACATCTGTGTACGAGGCTAGTTCTTGACTCCCTTCTTTTCTAGCAGCATTGCTGGTTGTGGATGCCATTGCTGGTACCCACATTGCCCATATAGGTACCTCTTCCTGGAGATCAGATGGCTCATATTTCTGTCTGATCCCTCATTTATTAAAGGATTGGTTTTACTGTATTCTTAGAGAACCAAATCTTCTCTCCCTTCCCAACTTCAAATCATAGTAAAAATTGGACTAATTCATGCTACAGGCAATAGGGAAAAGACATTTCCTGCAGGTCTGTTCAAGGGCCAAGGCCTAAAGACAGACATTCAGGACCAAAGACTGCAAAGAACAAGCTTCAGTCCCCAGGAGAACATGAGATCTGACAGTAGTAGGGATTAGGGCAGTTTTTACAGTAGAGAGCTTTTATGGCTTGCAGTTTTGAGAAAAATGTTAGTAATTATAGTATATTAAACTGCAAATTAAAGTACATTAAATGAGCATTGCTAGAGTTAGAGGCAAATACTCAAAAGTTAAAAGAAAAAATTAGACTCAACTTGCCCATGCTGTCCTGTACATTTGTGCTACCAACACTGCATTGAGGTCAGGAAACCAGTGGAAAACAACCACCAAAGCAAAATGTGATAGCATAGCTAAAGAGTATTATGTATAACAAAACAAAACAACAACACCCCCCCCCCCCCAAATTACAGTCAAAGCTCTGTCCTAACCTCTTCCATATGAGCTAATATCATAAACATAAGTCAGTAACATACTATTAATCTCAGTGTATAACACATACTAATGAAAGCTCTACGTAACTAAAGAACAGTTGAAAAACATATATAGTTAATGCATTTCACAAGAACTTAACATGTGCCTTTCAGCCAGCCTAAGGCTGTTTTGTCACAGAAACCCACCTTGCAGGTCTTCCATTTCTCCCCATTTCTAATATTTCTTTTCAAAGCACTGTGTTCAGCCCTTG